CTATCGGGCGCTGGTCAGACCGCAGTTGGAATACTGCGTGCAATTTTGGGCACCTCTGGACCCTCTCCAGGTTATCCACATGGAGAGGGTCCAGAGAAGGGCCACTCGTATGGTTAAGGGCTTGCAGGCCAAGCCCTATGAGGAGAGACTGGGGCACCTGGACCTCTTCAGCCTCCGCAAGAGAATGGCTTGGTGGATTGAAGATGATGCCTATAACCTTTCTCTGTCCAGATTGCCATTTCAGATCTAGCTATGATTGGTAATAACCAGAAATTACTGTCTGACAGCTTTCTAATGGCTTTTGTGAAATGGGTTCTGGTCCTAGTCCGGTTGTCCTAGACAGGTGGGCACAAAATTGAACCATCACCCTCTTTGGAAAGATGTGTTTCTCTTGCTGGCTGTCCCAAGAAAGAAGCTAAAAAACAATAAATGACTGGGGTCACTGAAACTACCAGCACACCCTTCAAGTGGTTTTCCAGATGAGATTTTGTACGTTGCTAGTGCAGCAAGTTTACACTTCAGCTAGCTGTGCCATACCAAATCTTTGATTAATCTGAAGACTTCAGCTGATACATTTCACTTCATACATACTGGCAGGATCAGGGCCACACTTTCACTTTACCTTTAGCAGTTTATTTTGGGGGGGAGAATGACGTTCCTTTGGTTAACTCAGGGTTAACTCCCTTTTTACTGACCATTTCAAATGTATTTGTGAATGCAAATTAGCCAGAACTACTTCTCAAAGCTGGAGAATATCTGCACTCCCTCAAGAAAGTGATGCATTTCCCTTTTTAAATAAAATTGACTAGAAAATGCATGTAGTCAATTTGCTTTGTTTGTGCATGGCAATGATAAACAAGCAATTTAAACTCCAGTGTGTGTCTGTTTGGGGAGGCTTAGATAGTTGTGAAGTATGGAAACATGTGCAGGATCAGAGGGAGGAGGACGGAATCAAAATATAGTCACCTAGCGTGGCTAATTGCATATGATTATCTGACAATGCACTTTTCTGATTGGCAAGCACAGAGGACTTAATTTCCCAGCAGACAACAACTACTAACGGTGTAAACACACACTCAAGATGAAAAACATACAATCACTTTTTTCTTTTAATTAAAGGCCAGTTGCTAACCAGCTTTCTACCGTTGCTGGAGGGAAGGAGAGAGGGAAAAGGCCTTCCCCACCTTGTACTCAGGTCCAGGATAACTCCTGGATTCCTTGAGGGTAATCACTGTGTAGGATAAGTGCTGACTATGCTGCTGGCCTGCTCTGAACTGTCTTTGCACTAATTGCTCTACCTTGCTCTCCAATTATTCAAACACAAGAGAAGAAAAGCTTCCGCTTCAGCGTCCTAAGAAGAAACTTCTTATCTTCAGTCTAAGTTTTGCAGGGAAAAAGTTTTGGAGTGGTTATCTGATTTTGCAGGTCCTGATCATTCTTGTGCTTCATCTCTCGCACTGTGAGCAAGATATTTGCAGTGTGGAAAAATAACATACACTAGTCTTTGTTGGATAAGAAACTTAAATTTGGTACCACTTTAGGGCAGGGTTTTGCATCATGCCATATTCAACAGGGCTGCAGCCTCCAAATGCTAATGCAATGCAAATAATAACAATATCAGTAATAGGAACCTAAATGTAAACCAAAACTTTGTGTGCATGTCTGGACTCTGGCTATATGGGCCTACTGTAACCTTTTTACTTCAATTTGTTTGTGCATGGCAAGGATAAACAAGCAATTTAAACTCCAGTGTGTGTCTGTTTGGGGAGGCTTAGATAGTTGTGAAGTATTAAAACATTTTCAGGATCAGAGGAAGGAGGACTAAATCAAAATATAGTCACCTAGCATGGCTAATTTCCTTCTTCCTCTTCACCAGTTCCTTGCTATAGAACTGTATAAACCAGCAGTGTTCAATCTTCTGGCCAGGTGAGTGGTACAGGACCAGTCTGTGGGCCAGATCAGGCCTCACACTACCTCTGCCCAGGCCCTGCGTTTCCTCTGCTCAGCACTGCACACCCAGATCAGACCCATATTGCCTCTGCCCATCCTTGTATACCTGGATCAGGCCCATACCACCTCAGGCAGCCCTGTATGCCCCCACTGAACCCATGCCACCCTCCCCTGACCCTACATGTCCCAATCGGATCCCACATCACCTTGGCCCAGCCTTGCATGCCCAGATTGGCCCCCACAGCCACAGGGTCATGCTATCTGAGCCATGGGGCTTCCCGCAGGCCCAGGCATTTTGCAGCAGAGGAACATCAATTAGTGTGGCCACTGTTCCCTCACCACCATGTTTTTGGACCCGGGAGGTCCCATGGGTGGGATTATGTTGCTCCACATGCCCACAGGTTCAGGGTTGAGCACCCTTGGTATAAAGTAAAGAGAAGGTTAAAGGAAAAGTGGACTTTATCATCTGGAGACTATAGTAAGCCCTTAGCTGCTTAGTGGTGATATAGCATAGCATTTGCTTGACCAAAGTTTGAGTAAGAGAAGAAGAGGCAAAGGAAATGATTAGATGTCACAAGGTTCAAACCAGGTTAGACTAGTCAAGAAAGATGGAATAGAAAAGCTAGGTTAGAGGTCTCCTGGAGTTCATTAGTGGTTTGATGCTAGACCAGGCTAATTTTAGACCAGATGTAGCTTAGATATGGAATAAAAATCTGCATATGAATATTAATTAAATTAGCACCTGTTACGCTGCTTTTATATTTTTTACATTATTTAGTAATTTTTTTATATTAAGCCAGGCAGTAGAGTACCAAAATTTGGGTTCATCTCAGAATCTTTGCTGTTCAGCCTCAAACTATGGTTCTTGCTGAATAGCCTATCTACAAATAAATTAAGATAAGTGCTTATTTAAAATTTATTTTAAAACCTGAATGTCTTTTTCCCTAATAGGCTGGCCATCTGTTAGAGGCTTTTGACAGTTCAGAGAACTTACAAATTAATTTTAAATTCTCTCAAATGTTAACAATATTGTTGTTCTTTAGATAAATGCACATTTTATAAATTCTAATCAGTAGCTTGATAAGCCTTTTCTGTACTGTTTAGTCATTTATATCTTTTCTGTATTTTATTTTAGAATTTGCTATTAAAAATGTAGGTATCCATACGTTTGCAAGTGTTTAATTTTGGGGGACTCACTATACAAACCTTTCTTGGTTCTCAAAATATATCTAAGCATCAACACAACCCATGACGTAATAAAAAGAAGTCCAGAGGTCTTTGTAGTGATGCCAGAAAGCAAACAGTGTATGATTGATTTAAAAAAACAGCTGGGAAGAGTCAAAACTGGGAGACCAACTCAAAACAGGAGTTTAAAAATCTGGTCCTGGAGGACAGTGGGAGAGGGCTTTTACATCTTGCCTTGGCTAGTTTTCAGCATTTGTGTCCAGGCAGTGGGCAGTGCTGGCTCCCAGCAGCCATGTGCTTAAAAGAAGAAAATATTTCCAAATGGAAAGTTCTAGTTATTTATCCTCACTCTGTTTTTTGTTTCTCTTCCTCCCCTTCCTCCTCCCTGCTGCAGATTTGTAAGAGCAAAGCTAAAGAATCCCAGCAGTATTACCACAGCTTGGCTATCCGACAGATTCTGGCTATTAACTTCAACATCCAACAGGACTGTGGCCATTTCTTAGCTGATGTACCTGTTCGCCTCCTTCCATGGGAGGATCCCAATGCACCTGAGGCAGAGGAGGAAGAAGAACAGGATGAGGAGGAAGAATCTGCACAAAAGAACAGAGAGCCCCCCTCCAATGGAGAGGCTTCACAGAAAGACAGCTCAGGCAGCCAGGGGACTATCAGCAAGCAACGTAGCCGTGTGGTGGTCATCACCCGGGAGGTTCCATACCTCACAGTGGCTGACTTTGTGCAAGAGTCCACAGCCCGCCATGCAAATAGTCCAGACTTCTATGAGAGGCAGGTATGCCTACTGCTTCTACAGCTGTGTTCAGGCCTGGAGCACCTAAAACCCTATCATATCACACACTGTGATCTGCGCTTGGAGAACCTGCTGCTGGTGCACTCCAGGCCGGCAGGTGGCCTTCTTAACTGTGAGTCTGCAGAGCCCAATCCCAATGCTGCTTGCCCAGCCAGACTAATAGTGAGCAATTTCTCACAGGCCAAACAGAAGAGTCACATGGTGGATCCAGAGGTCTTACGGGATCAGTCCCGCCTGGCTCCAGAGATCATCACTGCTACACAGTACAAGAAGTGTGATGAGTTTCAGACTGGCATCCTCATCTATGAAATGCTGCACTTACCCAACCCATTTGATGAGAATCCAGAGCTGAAGGAGAAGGAGTACACCCGTGCTGACCTCCCCAAGATCCCTTGTCGTTCCCTGTATTCCCAAGGGCTTCAGCAACTTGCCAGCTGCCTACTGAACCCCAATCCTTCAGAGAGGATCCTTATTTCTGATGCCAAGGGAGTCCTTCAGTGCTTACTGTGGGGTCCACGGGAGGATTTGTTCCACACTCTCAGCTCACCTTCCAGCCCAGCACGGAGAGATGCTGTGCTACAGAACTGGCTGGACATCAAACGGACGCTGCTTATGATCAAGTTTGCAGAGAAATCCTTGGACAAGGACTGTAGTGTCAGCCTTGAAGACTGGCTTTGTTGTCAATATCTGGCATTTGCCACTACAGACTCACTCAGCCACATCGTAAAAATCATGCAGCAACATTAGTTTGTACAAGCTGTTGCTTTTCCTTAAGCACCCCATAATCCTTCTTCCATTCTGCCCCATCCACCTCATCCCAGGGCTTACACTTTGCACCAGTGATAAAACAGAAAAAAAATGGACTAGTTCTCAAAGCTGGCAACCCTGAGCAAACAGGTTCTAACTGGAAATCCCGTCTCCTGTTATCCAAATGATGGAGACATCGTTCTATTCCCAGGCCTAGCCATGCTTAATCATAGGCTCTACAGTTGCATAAAGATTAGATGCTTCCTAGCTTGGGTTAATGTTTCAGCAGACTGAAAAAGGAAAGAGAGAAACTTAATAAAGAGACCACTATTTTTATTTTACTATACAGTAACATGAGTTCCCCTTCTCATTTGGGTTGGCTCTGCCTTTTCTGAATGTAGCATTTGCAGTGAATAACAGTGGTAATTTATTATCCCCAGCAGAGACAGGTTAATAAAAAAAAGGAAATCAAACCATCCACCCATATGTAGAAGCCCTCACTGAAAAAAAAATATTGTTCCTTTTCCATCTCCAGTAAAAGGCTGTTCCCCCCAGTTTAGTCCTCCACAACCAGAAGGGATTACTCTGCCCAGTGTTCTCATCCAAATGGGTCCTTGCCTTAATCCTACTCTGGAGTCTCATTTTGTTCTCAAGTGACGTAGTCCTACTGATCCGAGCTGGTGGTCAATGGGCAGCATTCATTTGTGGTCTTCTTCTCGGCCTCAGATTTGTTCCCTGTCCATATCCCTTCTAACCATGGATCCCAGATTCCAAGGATCCTGCCTTAATCAGCCCATGATCATCAGCCTAGAGTAGCTCAATTGAGAAACAGATAGAATGATTTTTTCCCCCTCTTTCTACCCCTACTCATGACCTGATTGTTGTGGATTGTAACCATCTCATAGACACAACAGTGTTAAATGAGCAGAACGACATAACGAGGAAAACTGAAATGTCCCTCTTGCCATAGAAAGCACTAAACCATGGGCTTGAAATGGACAGAACTGACATAACCAACCCTCCTTCTGTGGCTGCTCTGCATCAGGGATGGAATTAGCATCTGCCTCCTTTTCTGTGTTTTATTTGCATTTGTTAGCCACTTGTGGCATATTGCAAAGCAGGACTGAAACTGGCAGTGCTGGTCTGTTGGCAGGAGATTGAATTGTTTAGAGCTTGTCTGTGTGTAGCTAACAGGCCACATGGAGACAGTTTTATTGCATATGCAATTCTCTGGGGCTGAAAAGCATAGGGGCAAAATACTGCTACTTAATTACTGCAAAAGCTCTAAAGTTTGGCAGGTACAGGTAACAGGTTCCCCATAGCAGTGTTTGGCTGCATATCTCTTATTAGTAACCAGTGTTTACCATGCACCCTAAAAATGGAATGGCTGTCAAGATCGCTCTGAGACCAGAGCAGATACAGTTTTAGTGTGAGGAGGAGTTACTGGGTATTAAGGTGACAGATTTAAAAAAGCTTCCATCCTTTAAAGCATTTATAGGTGAAAAGCAGCCACTGGCTTCCTCTTCTGATTAGTGGCCTTTTCCTATGGGACTGCTACACTTGTAGAGATGGTCCCTTTGCTCAGTATTGCTAGGCTCAGAACAGTCTTATAAATAGCTCTGAAGAACATGTTTTGTGGCCAGGGAAAAAAGTCATACTGATTATTATGATCTGGGTGGTGGAAAGCAGACAGCCCTAGTTTTGAGCCTGTGCTTCTCTCCTATGGATATATGTGCAATTCTTGTATGTATTTTTAAAAGCTGTACATTACAGTGTTTACGTTACATACCAGACTTTATCTAATGCTAGACCTGCAAACCCTTCCTTACTTTCCTGGCACATAAACACGCAGCAATACATGTGCTGTTCCTATGGATTGATATTTCATTTTTAATTGATGAAAACTGTGAGAAACCAGTTCACTTCAGCCTTGAAAACAAATAGCCACTTTTTACAGCATTTGCATGCTTGGAACAGATGCATGGAAACAGAACAAACAGGCCTGCTGACATGAGAGCAGAGAAACTCGCCCTGTATGTGCACCATACATTTGAAGGGGGTGACCTTTTCTGCCTCGTTTTCTTCTGGCATCGGTCAGAGCCAAGCCCAGTAGTTTGTGGAACCTACATTGATTGTGCAGTAGTGTAGAGAATGTTTTGTGACTTTTTAAATGTTTTTAAACTGATTAAATATCCTTTTGTTTGATTCACCTGTATCAGAGAGGGATCAGGCAAAGACAAAGGTCATGTATTTTAATGTGATATGGATCACTTTAAAAAAAAATGCAAAGAGTTGGGGTGGGGAGGCAGCATTGGGAGTTGGGGTGGGGGGAGGGGGGAGAAGTGTAGTGCACTAAAGCCCCAGTTCCTTGCATGGAAAAGAGGCTTTGACACTAATGTTGAATAGATGTGAAGAAAAAAGCATTTGCAGAGATTGCACAAATGTTAGATGCAGCTCAGCTTCATGTGGACACAGGATACATAAGGCCCAATGGCTTAACTGTGCTGAGCATGACAGGTCATTGAAAAGCAACCTGCTACCTAACCAGCAGTCACCAACCCTTTAAGCTTAAGGACAGGGCACTGCTTCTAGTTTTGTGAGGTCTGGTTTTGTTTCTGTTCTTTTTTTTTAACAGCTCCTTTATGCACGTAATTTCTCACCCAACAAATACATGCTGTCTGAGCAGCTCATGGACAACTGACCACTGCAGTAGGCACATTCCTTTAGGCCATCTGGTATATTTTTTGTATACATGGACACATGTTCTCAAATGTCACTTTCATGTCAAAATGCACATGCAAAGTTAAATATTGAATGTTTTGCAACCCTGCATATTTAATGCAGCTGGTCTGAAGCCTTTGTATGTCTTTGTTCTTTAGATATCTTATTTCAGTTTCTATTTCTTGTGATGACTTCAAACCAGTACTCATTTTAGTTCTGCAGTATAATCAAGCATGGATAAATGTTCACTACCAATCTCTTTCTTATGTAGCAATGGGTAAACTTTAGTCATTTGTAATATCAGTGTGATTTTTACTTTTTTTTCTTTGAAAAATGAAAGAATGGTCAAGGAAGGCAAACACCAACTCTCCAGAGCTTCCTTGGGGAACCCTGGGGCTGCCTCTGCAGACTTCTTGGAAGATTATAACTGTATGTGGTGGCTCCACAATCCTGACTGTGGATGCACCACTGAAGTACTTGAGAATGTATATTCGAAAATGATTGTAAACAAACCCCAGGGAGCCTCCAGCATATTAAAAAAATTAAGAGAGAGAGAGAGAAATCCCCCACCCCTTTTGCTTTGTCATTGGGATTCTCCGTGTATCAGGAATTAAACCCCTGACCATGCATATATGCACATGGACTTGCACAGGTACAGCATTTGGTTTTTAAACAGAGCTCTTTCAACTGAGCTCCATAACTGAGAAAAGCTGCAAGTCCAAGATAGCAGTATTGATTGTAAATATATATTTTTCTATTACTAAAAGCTACCATTGACTATTTTTTAACATAAACTGTATAGATTTTTCCAGTGCAAAATAAGACCTGGAAAATCAAATACAAGTCTGGAAAAGAATTTGAGTGAGTGGTTTCTGAAACTATTAGAGCCACTAAAAACCTCTCTAATGTTTTAGAGAGGAGACAATCTAAATCAGTGATTGGATTCACAGCATATAGTGCCTTGTCAAAGAATTGGAATAGGGAGGAACAGGTCGAGGGAATCTCTTTCCACCTGCTAAAAGCCCTATAAATAATCCTACCTGCATAAAGAAAGAAAAGATTTCTAACAGAATAAAGGAGATGGTGCGCTTCATGTGATGCTGAGTAGGTTTAGTGAGAATAATTTTTACTGGGGACTCAGTTACAGGAAGAGGTTCTTTTGAAGTGGTTCATAATGCCAGATGACAGCAAATCTTTGTGGATTTTTCACATTTGAAATTGAGGCCAAGCACTGGGCAAGAAATAACAGGTGAGCTGTCACTTGGTCTAGGCCTAATATACTAAAATTCAAGGGGTCTATTGCTTTGACAATCTACTGCAGACACTCCAACTTTGGAAGACGAAGAACCTAAATAGGGAAGAATAGAATATGTGGAAGGTGTGCAGCTCCTTTTATGTACAGGAGAGGACCTGTCTTAACACTGGTGGCATGGGCACACCACTGATGGCATAGTTTTGGAAAACAGTCCATATTTAATGGAGGTTGACTTTGTTATGTGTTTCTCCGGAAAAAAAGAGGAAAAAGTTAATCTGTTTTTTAAACCTCTGTAAGATCCAGGTAAACATACTATTTAGCCAGAGCCTACAGGCAACAACCCATATAAATGTGTGCACGGAATTCTTCAGAAACTAGCATATCCAACATTTTATTCTATCGTTTCTGTGATGGCAGAAAATAGAGACAAGCCTTTTTTAAAACCTTCAGCCATGCAGTGAACCTTAAAAAGTAAGTAATTGAAGTTTGGCTTGGAATACTGTGGTGCTGGAAATCCCATCCTGCAGTCCAGAGTGAAGATAGTGTTTACACTGTCTCACCACTCTTCAACCTAGACTTTACCTCACCACCTGCCAGCAACAGAAAGAAATGAACATTGTAGTGCAGGGAAATTTCAGTAGGTTAGAGGGGAGAATATATTGTTTAAATTAATCTAACTCATGTCTGCAGTCAGAGGGGAGGTTGCAAAGATGCCTCTTATTCTAGGTCCATAGCCGTGAACTGCAAAATGTGTATTTGTTGCTGAACTAAAAATGTCTTGTGGCTGTTTTCCCTATTTGGCATGATGGCTAAAGAAAGATATTTTAATTATTTTTTCTATTTTAAAATAGAGACCAAGTCCTGTTCTCTCTAAAGCTGATAGGAGTCTTGCCTTTGAGAGTAACACCTTGCAAGGCCTTTAATGCACTTTCTTCACTGAATTGATAAAGATTGAGCTTATTGCCCCACAGAGGTAGTAAATGGGTATTATTTCCCTGCAAGGCTGGGCCATCAATGTTACATGGCTCTAGGGGAGGTAAGATTTCTGAAATCCCAAAGTACATGCACGGACCTCCAGTCAAAAGGATCTCATTCTGTGGTATAATCCATCTATGCTAGTGTTAGTGGACTAGAACTTGAGGGCCCTCTCTCCCTCATATGAAACAGAGAGAGATTTTTTGTATTAATAAGATTTTAGTTATGGAGTAGGCAAACACCAAAGAAACGCAGCACAGACCCTTGAATGCTTCAGTAATCAATACTGTGCCCCAAAACATTCCCATGTGGTCACCCAGACAGGTTTCAATGAAAAATGCTTTTGTCCAAAAAAAAAAAAAAAAACACTGTGCAGACTTGCTGGGAGGCGTCTTCAACTCTAAAAACAAACCAACAAACAAAACCCCAACCCACCTGAGCAGAAAGGCCTTTGAACCCCTCCTCCTGATCACTTTTGTGTTATGAAGAATTTGTAGGAGACATTTGTCTAGATTCTGTTATTCACTTCGCTGCAATATTTAAAGGCTTCCGTTTTGAATAGACGTAATATAAAAAAACACCTTGGTGGTTGGGAGATTTCTTAATTAATTTAAACAATGTGCGATAAGCCTCCTTGCATGGGTGTTTGCCACTCCTTCAACGTCTCGTTAGAGGCCACGTTGTCTGCAGAAAGCTTTCTGAATCAGGGAGAACTGGCAGTGGAGCATGAAATGCTTAGCTTACCTGTATGTAAGCATTTTGCCACTCTGAAGAACTTGTCCTGTACTTCAAGCTGCGAGAATCCATCTTTTTGTTTTAAATTCCAGGAAGGAAGGTTTCAGGGAATTAGAAGAGGTTGGAATTGTTTTTATATGGAAGAAATATATGTTCATGTATGAAATATTCTACACCTTAAAATTATATTTTGCCCCCTTTTTGTTGAGTATGTATAATTTATATATAGTATATTTAATATATACTATAAGTTTACTTAAATTTTAACATACCAGTTTCATAAAACAAGTGATGTCTCTTCATGAAAACTATTTCCAACTTCTTGTCCTGAATCCTTTGATTTGTTGGTTTCAGGAAGTTTTGCAGCCAAAATCTTTTTTTGTTTCTTTTAGACCTTAATTATACTTAGCATTTAAGTGCAAGAACACTTCCATTTTTAATAAAAAGGGGTTATTTTATTTTGAAATTCGAAAACTGATTATCTTTTATAAATGGGGTTTCTTTATAATCCCTCAGATAAGGGATATTTTTAACTTCAACTCCATTGTCCTGGGTAACTTGTGTTTGGGATTCCTTATACCATTGCTTTATCTGGTGCTTCATATCTATATTTACACATTTTTATATTAAAAAATATATATATAGATATAGATATATAAACTCCCAGCCTTCCTTTGCGATCAGGGGGCCGTTACACTCTGGTTTGCTGTGGTACTTTGCTGTGTACTCTGTGGCATTCATGTTACTGTGTAAATAAACTAGTTTTATTACACTGAAAGTCAAATGTGGTCATTTTATTTATCGACCTATAATTTTTTTTTCTTTTTTTGGTTTTCCAGCCCCAGGGATTTATACTGAAATGAATAACACCAGAAACATGTCTGACCATGGCATGTCAGCGAATCATGAAAATTGCAGAAAAATGTGCGCTAAAAGGAGAGCTGAATGTTCTTCAGTAATGTGCACTGCATTAACAAAGCAGATGGAATGGTTAATATCTCCCACTTTCCTCAGTAACATCAGATATACTGTACTTAAGCAGATAATTCAGTTTTCATAGCCTTTCTACCTAAGGGTTCCTTGTCCTCTTTCACCAGTATGCTCCAACTCCAACACTGAAGCAAAGAAAATCCATATTGCACATTAATTCAGGTCCAGAACTCCCTTTTACTCCTCTTTAATGCAATTCAGTTCTGCCTTGGAAGGAAACCTGCTTCTTGGGGCTCAGAAATGGATTCAACTGCTACCTGGTAGGCTTCTGAGTCCTGTGTTTGTGCACCCTTGAGTGTCTGGAGTGAAAAATACTGTCTGTAGCGGGGTAGGCAGTTATTTGGGCTGAAGGGCCACTTAATGAGTTTTGGTGAGCTGTTGAGAGCCAGAGGGGCAGCTACAGAGATGCCAATTGATCCTTATTGGACCCACCAGCTGCCACTGAGAGCCTGAGGATGGCGGACTGCACCCTGCATCACTCCATTCTGCCATAGCCAGGGTTGGGCTGGGCCGAGCTGGGCCACACAGCGCACAGACTCCTCCACCCCACCCCATCCCCACACTCAGCTGCCCCACACTGTGCAGTCCCTGGCACCGCGGGCATTGACACCCAGGTCCTCACGGGATGAGGTACAATGCAGCGTGCTGAGTAGACATCCTGCCTCCCTGCTGCAACGAGCTGCTGCTGCACCACACCAGGAAAATTGGGGACAGGTGCTCCAGGCCAAACTCCTCCCACAGCTGGTACGTGCTCCCTGCTTAGCAGCGTTACAACTCATTGTGGCAGACAGGACAGCTACTTGGCACGCACTGCATCCTGCCCAATCCTGTACAGGCCCAGCAGCCAGGTGGGAGCCAGGTGGGGAGGGGAGGGAATGGATGCAGGGGGGTGGAGGAGTCCATGCACTGTACGTCCTGGCCCAGTCCCAGCTGTGGCAGAAAAGAGTGCTGTGGGGCACAGCCCTCCCTCCCCAGGCTCCAGGTGGCGGCCACCAGGCTGGATGGAATCAATTGGGCCAGATGCGGGCTATGGGCCATATTTTGCCCACCCCTTGTCTACAGCAAGGATATTTTCTAGAAGGTTCCCACAGTTGATAGAGATAATTGACCCCAACAGCCTTATCAGGGATGGGACCCCCAACATGCAATTGGCCAATGGCAGCTGTTGTCAATCAGACTTACTCTAAGAAAAGTGACAGGACACATGACCTAAAATGGTAATGGCAGCAGGCTACACTAGGGCTTCCATTCTTGTTAGTGGAGCTGAGCCAATGTTAGCAAGTTCCCTAATGTGGACAGGGATTAAATGACCTGCTGTGAAGGAATAAAATGGTTTTGGTGATATTTATTTTATTCAGTGTGAAAAAGTGGGGTGGCTTCAAGGCATTCATCTGCCACAGAATTCACATCTCATCAGATCCATTACCTTGAAGCATACAGCTAGTTGGAGGGTCCGTTCAAAAACAGATGGGATAATATATGTTGTCTATGATCATGGAGATGTGTTTCAATAACAGTGAGATAAAGCAGCCCTGTTTTTGTAGAAAGATTTGATAGCCAACAATAGGAGCTGCAGATGCTAATTTATTAGTACAGAACAGATGACACTGAACATTTGGAGTCATTCTGTGGTTCTGCATGAGAACAGCACCATTTGCAAAATACTGTTTTTAAACCCTCAGGGCTTGATTCTTCTCTTATGCTGGCTTTATACAGGTGTAACTCCACTGACTTTAATGAGGTTATGCTAAATCACAACTGTGATCAAAACTGGATCACCAAATGTTACTTTTTGTGATGCACTATTCACATTTAACATGCAGAGCCTTCTTCAAAACCCTTTCCAAAGCAGCAGCCTGAATTCTAAGCTATTGTCCTCCGCCTCTTCAAAACCACCAAACTAACCGGGACTCCATAGGTGTCAGTAAATATGTAACATGTTTAACAAACTGACAGAAGGCATTTTGGCAATGCTGGAGTAATCCCTGCTCTCTTTAACAAACTGCCATGGACTGAGCAAAACAAAAAAAACTGGTGGGTAAGATTTATAAAGTGTGTCAGTGGAAATCATAGTAAACCACTTAGGGAAAGCAACAGCTAAGAAAAGTCTCAGGCCTTGTCAATGCACAGTAATTGCATCAGATTACTAAAATCTATTTAAAAACCAATTTAGTTAAGACACTGCAAACCCTTACAAGAACACACTAACTCAGTCCAAATCTGGCTTTATCAGGTCAGCTTGTGGCCGTATAGTAATTAGAGCTGCATTGAGTGGAGCCAGGTTTAAACTAATGTAAGTGTTTCCACTCAAGGTTTTTCACTGCTTTAAAAAAAGCTGCAAATAAACTGGTGCAACATCTATGGCTAGAACCCAGCCTCAGTGTTCATCAAAGGACTGTACCACTGAATATTTGGGACCTTCCAGGCCACCGGTCGTTGTCTTCTAAAATGCTCTAAAGCTTCAGAGAAAGTCAGTTAGGCCTCCTATTTGCTCAGTTATTTGCTGCTACCGACCATCTGAATCATCCCCCAGCGGTGTGAGGCTTGTTAGCTTGCTCTAGGCACTGACCTGAAGTTGCACACAAGATATAGGAAGCTTCAGTTACTAGCAGCCTTTCCTGAATGCGGAAGAACCTTAATGGTTAATTTAATCCAGCCTAGTGATGCCCTGTGTTTGACAATGGTAGTGCAAGGGATTAAAAGAACAGTGACGTCCCCACAAGAACAGCTCAGAGTGCCTCATTAGAGCACTGCAGTGAACGGCAACAGGTGTAAGCTAGTGTCTGCACTTCCACTCACAGGTAGGTGTTGGGGACCTAACAGTATCAGAGTAGCACTGGTGACTAGTCTCTTCCTGACCTTATTTCCAGCTGATGGAAAATACCACATGCAGAATTCTTTAACAGCGCCCAGGCTGACCTGTGTCCTGGCTCTAGCAGGTAAGTGTATACTTTAGCACCACATGCTGCATCTTTCATATTTCACATATGTAGCAATTATTTATACAGGGGCAAACAGTCACCAGGACCTGGCCTGCTATTAATTGTCCAACATGCATGAGAAGCAAGACACTGAATTCTAGTCATAGCATGTAGAGCTGCTACATTCTTGTCAATGATGTAGTTTCAGATGTAGACTATGCCCAACTTTTACTGCTTTACATACCCAGAAAGATGAGCAGTTGTGAATGGAGCAATTGTCCTTGTTGGAAAAACGTCTGTCACTGAAGCTCACTCAGTCCACTGAACATAACAAGGAAGTGTTTAAGTCCTGCATTCCCTCAAAAACTGTATTTGCCTTTCTTACACTATGCTTTTGGCTTCTGCAAAATACAAAGTGCTTGGATATCACAATGTGGAAAACAGGATTGGAAAACAGATAAGTAAATTCAATTAGTTTTTCACCCGTTAAAGTCAATAAGGCTCTGAAATATTCCTAGATGTATTTATAGATTTTAAAGCCAGAAGAGGCCATTTGATCTTCTTGTCTGAGGCTATAGACTTCCACCCTAGTACCCCAGTATTGAATTCATCATTTGTGTTCAGATAAAGTGCATCTTCCAAAAGGCAACCTATCTTGACCTGTAGACGTCAAGAGATGGAAAGTCCACCACTTTCTTCAGCAGAAGGATGAGCATCCTGACTTTAGGTGATACCTTCAAAACTTATGGGCTAGGGACAGAAGTTACACATAAACCAGTTTAAGTGATCAGAAACTGGTTTAAACCTGTAACAGAACAGAAGCTCAGTACACACAAACCAGTTTCAAAATGGCTAAAACTGGTATAAGATAAGCCTGGTTGCATGTCATATCAGACTTAACTGATTTGGGTCAGACCAGTTAATTAAACTTCTGTCCCACACCCCTTCCTGGTTCAAGTTAAATTACAGCCCCCCAGCATCCCAGTATGCTTTTCAGCCCTGGGCTGGGCTGGGCTGTGCTGTCTGCTCCAGAGAGCAGGGCTGGCCCCACCCCTCTGCTCCCTAGCTAGAGCAGTGAGCGCTAGCTGACAAAGCAGTGGGGCAGGCAAACCTGGCTGGGGATGGAGCCCAGTCTGGGGGGGGGCAGGGAACTGACTTCCCAGGCAAACCCCGGCTGGAGTCTGGGGCCAGGGAGGGGGTGTTAAACACCCCTTCCCCTGCTCAAACTTACTGCTGACTGCAACTGTGGACTACAAATCCCAGAGGCCCCTGAAAGCAGGAAGAGGAAGTGATGAGCAATGCTGCAGAATCCTGGTATTGTGATTTTGGACTGCAAATCCCAGAGGCCTCAGTGGCAGCAGGAAGAGGAAGTGAACACACAGCCAGAGAGCTGTGCTCTACCACCCCCAGCTTCTCACTTGAGTCACTGCAGGCAGGCAGCTGCATTTCCTGAATCATTGGTAAATAAATGTCTGTTCACTTCTGCTTCAATTTAATCTGTGCAGTTTAGACCACCCTGCAAAGACTAAATCGATTCAGCCTCCGGACTTTTTGACTGTCTGTACCTAGCCATGAAGTTCACTTATAACCTGTTGCCATCTGAGTGGTTTAAAAATTGAGACATGATATCACAAAGCTGGTCCTTCTTCTCTCAAGGCCTGAATTCAAATCCTACTTGGATCCCTGGGAACTAGATCTCTCTCTCCTCTTGACTGGAATGAGGTAGACTGATCTAACACCCTAAAAATATGCACTCAGCAGTTTCCGTTCTCTTGGGATGAAACTGTTTTAGTTGCATCAAGAGAACTGCATAGGGGCACTTTAAACTAGGGATGGCCAACCTGTGGTACATGCCATACATG